CCTAGAGGTAGATTCTATACCCCATTTCTTCTATCCTTGACTCTACAGCCAGAACCACATGGCCAAAGCTGCTTGCTGGAGCTGGAATATGGTCCCCTCTTTCAATTATATATTCATTGACTTTCTGTTTTCACATGGTTTCTTTCATTGCCTAAGCTTGGCTGTCCTGAAACTCGATCTGTAGACCAGGATGGCCTCAACTTAGCGATCCACCAGCCTCTGCTTTCTGAGTACTGTGATTAAAAGCATATACCACCACATTTGGACCTAAACTGTTGTTTAATTCCTTTTTACAAGTTGGAAGCTTAGCTATGTGGGATCTTGCCCTGAAGTCACCCATTTATTACATTTCTTTATCAATTTATCTCCTTGGACACAGGATTTAGCTCCATTCCACTTCCTGGCGCCCTCTTTTCTCCCTCAATCTGTACAGTTTGTAGTTTTGCTTTCTTAGCTTCCTCCTTTTCATTATAGATCTTCATTAGAATAACCACTAATACAGATCTTCATTATAGATCTTCATTAGAGTAACCACCAGTAATTACAGCTATTTTGAGATTTCCTCTGCCCATGTAATTAAGTCAAATCTCTTCACTTTAGCTTCAGGCAGACTCTTCAGACAAGGGCAAAAAGCAGCCACATTCTTCACCAAAATATCACAAGAATGATCTCTAACCCACATATTAATATTCTTCTTCTTTGAAGCCTCTTGAGCCAGGCCCCCACAGTTCAAATCATTCTCAGCACACCATCTTCCATGTTCCTACTAGTATGGCCCATTAAGCCCCTGCTTAAAGCATTCCACTGCTTTCCTAATCCAAACTCCCAAAGTCCAGATTCCTCCAGACAAAAGCATGGTCAGGCTTATTATATCAATATCCCAGTCACTGATACCAACTTCTGTCTTAGTTAGGGTTTTATTGCTGTGAAGAGAGACCATGATCACAGCAACTCTTATAATGGAAAATTTTATTGGGGCTGGGTTATAGTTTCGGAGGTTTAGTCCATTATTGTCATGATGATAAACATGGCAGCATAGATGTAGATATGTTGCTGGGGAAGGAGCTGAGAGTTCTACACTTTTATTCATAGGCAGCAGACTGAAATACATTTCCTCCAACAAGACCACACCTACTCCAACAGAGATCACCTCCTGATAGTGCCACTCCCTATAGGCCAAGTATTCAAATACCTGAGTCTATGGGGGCCATACCTATTCAAACCACCACACCCTTCATCACAGAAACTCCTCTTTGCAACAGATGAAGAATATTACAGAAAACCACGACTGTTCAAAATGTAGAGAACAAGAGATCGTATGGTTCCCAGTCCCAACGGATACATCTGCAACACAATTGCAGAAGATGGGACAGAAAGATTGAAAGACCCAGAGGATTAGGATTTTGCTGTGAAATTGCATATCCTGGTAATGTCAAAGAGGCTATACTCATGAAATATCACCAAAATGGCTGCCTAAATGAAATCTGAACAATGAAGGCACCAATAAACTCACTAATATAGAAGAACAGAAAGTTATGGAGTCTAATTGTTAGACAAAAAACTATAAGCAACTGGGGAATGCTGAGAGTGGGAGAAATGATCTTCCCCAGGAATGAGCTTTTCAATTGGTTATCCAATACCAAGTTATCAGCCCTGAGATTGTTAGACCTCCGGAAAACTCAGGCCTCCGGGGTCCCAGCCCAGGACCTCGGTCACCCCAATCACCAGGCGGATTTGAAAACTTGCTGCAAACTGCATGGGGCTTTATTGTTGTTTAACGAGCTAACCCTATAGGGTTAGCTCGGGTCTTTCACCCACCCGCCATGGTGGATGGCTAGCAAAGACAGCTCGAAGGGGCTGCATAGAGATCTTGTAGGGCAGCGTAAGGGGAGTGTCTAGGGGTACGCACAGGCTCAGGATTGGGGTGCCTCCAGTCTTGGAGGGCTTGCCCTGCGTTGATTGGTCAATTGGTTGTTATGGCCCATAGGCCCTCCCAGGGTGGTTGCTATGCTCTGCGCGTCATTGCTGTGTACTTGTCCGTAAAGCACACCTAGAGCCGTAAAGCATAGTGCCACCCACTAACTTCTGATTGGTTCCTTGCCATGGGGCAGGCATCTGACCTCTAGTGACTAGGACAAGGTCATGGCAAGCACGTGTTACTGTCATGGCTGCTGAAATGGGGAGCTGGTCCCCTCAAGATCTTATACATGTAGGTATATTATACAGGTTGAGTCAGTTGTATTCATGTATTTACCCAACAACCATTTATAAATAGATTGGAATAAAATTTAGGAACATATTATTATCTTCTAAAATTTCACATAAATTTACCAGGTGCTGTGATTTATTTTATTAAATAACTTTAATGTTGAAAATGAAACTGATTATAGGTCAGCCATTTTACACAAAAGCAAGAGTATCAAAATGATTCAGTTTTTCTCACAATCTGATAAACAGATCCATGCTCTAAAAACCCAAGTATTGTACCAAACAATAGCTGCTATGGCAACAAGCTGTTATTCCTAACAATACATCACCTTTTCAGTCAGTTGTAAATATCTCAGCCATAATTCAGTCATGCAAGCAATGTTTAAGTAGCTATAATCAGGATTAGTGTCACTGGTTATTGAAATGTTTCTTAAATACCAAAAGTATTGTCTTAGAGTGGAAAAGGGGCATGCACCTACATCAGTTGTTTGATATCCCTTTTTAATGTCACAGAATAATCTGACCCAAGAGTCTTTTTAATTCATAGCTTCCTACTTACAAGGCTACAGTTTAATAATTATAAACACAATCACAGTCAGAGAGCTGGTCTATCAAGGTGCTATAGAAAATAATTCATTTGTGCTAGGCTGTCAAAATAGACATTGCTCAGCCAATAATGGAGTTCATAGAAGATAAACTGCATTTACAAAAGAAATGAGAAAACATCTGGGAAGGCTCTAGGGCAGTGTAACAACTGGAATGTCTTAAAGAATGACTAGGTTTTCAAAAAGAAGCCTTTCATCTATGGGAGAAAGTGAGAATGGTAAAAGAAGAGGAGATGGGGCTTAAGGTATGGTTCAGTGGTAAACCATTTGTCCAGTATGCATGAGCCCAGGGCTCTATTGCTAGCACTTAAAAAGAAAACAAAAATCAACATGTGCAATGTGTTAATGGAAGCAATTTCTGGACATGTTCACAGAGTATGAGATTGTTTGACAATGCAGGTAATATATGCATGTCAAGTATAAGAAATAAGCTGTGCTGGGTGGCGGTGCAATCCTAGTACTTCATAGTCAGATGGATCTCTTGAGTTCAAGGCCAGCCTGGTCTACAGAGACAATTCCAGGACAGCCAAGGCTACACACACACACACACACACACACACACACAATCTGTCTGGAAAAGCCAAAAATAGAAAAAGAAGAAAGAGAAAGGAGGGAGGAAGGAAGGGAGGGAAGGAGAAAAGGAAGCTTCAAAAAAGCTTTAGAACACAATGGAGAGAACTCTGAATTGTCAGGCCTTATTTGTTGGTCATTAAATATGTTCACAAAGAGAAAAGATTAAATGATAAATTTTTTTGTATGAACTTAATTCCACTACAAAATATAGGAAGAAAGGAAGAAAGAAAGAAAGAAAGAAAGAAAGAAAGGAAGGAAGGAAGGAAGGAAGAAAATGAGCTGAAATTCAAGAATACAATTTGTATTTTTTATTTTGAAATAATTGCTTATTCTTCAAAATTATTTGGTTAAATAGATATTTTTCATTCAATTTTTGCACATAAAAAGTGGTTCAGAGAAGTTTTATAAGGAAGTTCAGTGACTCAGCAGATAAAAGTACTTGCTGCATGTGATGGTTTGAATGAGAATTGCCAACATAGGCTCATATGTTTGAATGCTTGGTCTCCAGTTAGTGGAATTGTTTGCTAAGGATTAAGAGGTGTGGCCTTGTTGCAATAGATGTAGCTTTGCTAAAGAAGGCATGTCCCTAGGGATGGGCTTTGAGTTTTCAAAAGCCCATGCCAGGCCAGTGTCTCTCCATCTGCCTGCTGTTGGCAGATCAGGATGGATATGAACTTCTAGCTATTGCTTCAGCCCATGTCTGTCTGCTTCCCATCATGATGATCATGGCCTAACTTTCTAAAACTGTAAGCAAAACCTCAATTAAATGGTGTTTTGAGACAGGGTTTCTCTGTGTAGCCCTGGCTGTCCTGGAACTCATTCTGTAGACTAGGCTAGCCTTTATTTCAAGTGATTCATCTGTTTCTGCTTCCTAGATGCTGGAATTAGGGTCTTGTGCAACCATGCCCAACTTAAATGCTTTTACAAAAGAGTTGCCTTAGTCATGATGTCTCTTCACAGCAATAGAACAGTAACTAACACTGCATAAGCCTGATGACTTGAGTTCCAGCCCCAGAACCCCACAGAGGAAGGGGTGAAATGTCACTTAAAAATTGTTCTCTAAACTGGGTGGTGGTGGCACACACTTTTAATTCCAGCACTCAGGAGGCAGAGGCAGGTGGATCTCTGTGAGTTCGAGGCCAGCCTGGTCTACAGAGAAAGTTCCAGGACAGGCTCCAAAGCAATACAGAGAAACCCTGTCTCAAAAAACAAAAAGAAAAAAATTGTTCTCTAACCTCCATAGATGAACTTTGTATGCACATACACATGAGTTTTTAGTTCAGGAACTTAAATCTATCTCAGTAACACTTTCAAGCCCATAGTCATAAGCATTCTACTATACTAACTTACCATCTGGGCATAAACATGAAAACAGGGGACAATGAAATGGACCAATAGGTCTGACTGTGGGCAATCTCACCAGAACCCAAGTGATCTACGTGTCAAATGCATAATATAGATATTTGTCTCAAGGGATTTGGAAAGATTAAATGAGCTGATTCAATGAAGGGTTCACAAAGTGCACAGGAACCAGCAAGCAGCTAATAACTAATCATCATTGACACTCCTAGGAAGGAAATTCCCACAGGTTATCAAAGCAGTTAGGGTACTTACTGATTTGGTTGTTCAGCTTGAAAGCAATGTCTAACTGCAGGATAAACAGCATAAACTGGAACCATGGGCTCATCTCCATAGAAGGGAGGGGAATGTGTACGGAAAACACAATGTCGTTGGCTTCAATTTCCCTTGGAATTGCTTCTTCAATGTCTCGGATCTTGTCACACTTGTTGGGTCCCCAAGGCACCAGCCATCTTGTTTTATGGTGATTCTTACGGACATCCACACATTTTACTGACATGTATGGCACTGCTGTGGTTGGTGCTGGAGCTGAAAAGAGAATGTTTTCCTGTTTTAGAAAAGAGTCCATTGAAGTAGCCACTTCTAGCTAATGACCTTTTCAATTGTGCCTTCCTTCCTGTACAATGCCATCTATAGTTGGGGAGCAATTGTTCTCTTAGTTCCTCTAAATCCATGTGAGGACCCTCGTGTCATCTGCAGAGGGCCAGGAAAGTACCTCCACAAGTCTTCCCATTGTATTTCCAGTTAATTACAATACACACTTGTAAGCAATCAAAATAAGCTATAGCCTCCATTCAAATCTTTGTCACAAAACTTTGTCCCCTGGAGAAGGGGATAGGGTCACCATCCCCTGAGCAAATTGAGAACATGGGAACAGGAGGGAGGGAGCTACGAGAATGAGAAGGGAAGAAAAGGAAGAATGCAGAGGTCATGAGAGAACAGAAAGGTTGAGTCAGGTGTAGATTAGAAGAAAGGATATGTGATAGGTAGGGTTTTAGTTGGGGGGTGGTAGGGGAGGAGGGGAGGGGGAAGGGAACTGGGATTGTCATGTAATTCAATCTTGTTTGTAATTCAAATTTTAAAAAGTAAAAAAAAAAGAGAAATGAAAAAAAAATCTTTGTCACAAAATTCCAATAAGTCAGCCTTAATGCAGAGGGGTGGAGCTTGGTCGTGCCTCAACTTGAAATGCCATGCTTTGTTGACTGCCATGGGAGGCCTTACATTTCTGAGGAGTGTATGAGGGTGGGTAGAATGGAGGTGGGTGGAGAGAACGGGAGGAGAGGAGAGAGTGGAAACTGTGGTTGGTATGTAAAATAAATAAAATTCCAATGTGCCCCAAGAGCTGGGGAACTGATTGAGAAGCACTTCAGTTACCAGTGTCTGAATTCAGATGCCAGGACTGAGACCTGGTTGACAATTTAAGTTTGTTGCATCTGTGCTAGCTTCAGGACCCTCATCTAAGAAATAAGTTGACTATGGAACTATACTGACCTCACAATCCCACTTAGCTTGGTACCTGAAGATGGATATTCAGACTAATACTTCTAAAACAAACTAAAATATTACCCATGTTTATCAAGAGAGAAAATAAAATTTGAATGCACTGTTTTGTTACGAAACAATTAATATGACTATAACAGTAAAATTGCAAAACATAATTTGAAATTTATAATATTTGCCTAAAATTCCCCTAGAGGAAAGCAACTACTGTTAAAAAGACATCAAACATTATTTTTCTTTACTTAATATGTAAAGTATTAATATCTATATTAATAGTAAATGTTATGTTAATATCTTAATATATTAGTGATAAATGTGTTTTCATGAAGACTAGCCAATAACAAGTAAAAACGCTAGGAACTTCTACACTCAAGAAGCATAAATGAAAGCCCTTGAGTGTAGGGTGTTGACTCCATCAGCATGGTATCTCTGGATTCATGCTATAGAATTTTTTTCTCAAAACTCAAAACCATACAACCACAAATCCTTTGCATAACTAATTTATCTAAAGCCATTTTGTCTAGCATATTATTAGAAATGAGTCGGTCAAACATAGTTTATTTTAGTCAGCTGAACAGTTCCTTGATATTAGAAAGACCAAATGACACATTTAATTGGATCCATTTTAAGGTGGTTGGAAACAAACAGCGAAACAAAAGTCATAAATTCCACTTTAAATAACATAGTCAAACTGACTATTTCTTACAGAAAATACTTCTCTTTTAAAACTTCTCTTCTTCCAAAATGAATCTAACCTTTCTCATTTATTTTCTTCAGTTTGAAAAACAAGTCTTTCACTTCTCAGACAAAAATGAAAATAACTAGCCGAGTTCCTCAGCTGAGATCCAAAACCACATTCCACACGGAACAACAGAGCACTGGACACTAGACAGTACAGAGTCTGTGTTTTCAGTGGCTTGTGTGGGAGACTATATAGCAACCAACCTCGTTTTCATTTTTCTTTTTTTATTAGCACAATGTATCATCCATAAAATAAAATTACCAGGAATATTCACATTTTTAAGAGATCTTGGCAATGGACTTGAAGAAGCTTCAAATGCATATCTTTAGCTAGACCATGAGAATGAGAAATATTTTTATCACTGAAATAAGATAGCTTAAAAAAACATTTAAAACTTAAAAACTGAACATTATTAAACATTTCAACTTTTTCTATTAGGATCCAAAAGGAAAACAATGTTTATACTATTTGAAAAAGTAGATGGCACACTGATATGCAAGCATAGGCACTTAGAGTTCCCTTGGTGATATCTTTACAACTCAGGATGACATCTTACCTGCAGCTAAGAGTGGATACTTGGTGTATACAGCATGTAAAGAAAACAGAAAGCCAAGTGTGCAGCTTGTTCTGGTTGCCTACTATAGAAAGCGTTTTTTAAATGCAGCCAAAATTGTGACTGAAAGAATAATAAAAACAGTATTTGAATAAAACTTAGTTAGAGGGAGCTGAAGAGATGGCTCAGTGGTTAAGGGCACTGGCTGCTCTTCCAGAGGACCTGAGTTCAATTCCCAACAACCACATGGTGGCTCATTACCATCTGTAATGGGATCTGATTACCATATATATATGGTGATCTATATATGGTAAGAGGCAAGAGGATCTCTGAGAATTTCAGGCCAGTCTGGTCTACAAAGTGAGTTCCAGGAGAGCCATACCTATATAATGAGATACCATGGGTATTGGGTTCAAGGCGAGCCTGTTTAAAGAGCAAGTTCCAGGACAGCCAGGGCTTCACAAATAATCCTTGTCTTGGGGTGGGGTATGTATGTATGTATGTATGTATGTATGTATGTATGTATGTATGTATGTATGTATGTTTATTTAGGATTTCATAGTTTCACTTTATTTTTCTCCATCTCTTTCTACTAGAAATATCAGTTTATATTAAAGAGATAACAAACAAAATGATTTAAAATAGGTAACAGAAGCAATAGATGGATAATTCCAGTTCCCAAAGCTTACATATGACCTAAGAAAGTAAAAGGTTCATTATTTGCTTCACCTTAAAATATAGAGAAATATTTTCTTTTCCTTTTTTTTTTTTCCCCCCCGAGACAGGGTTTTTCTGTGGCTTTGGAGGCTGTCCTGGAACTAGCTCTTGTAGACCAGGCTGGTCTTGAACTCACAGAGATCCACCTGCCTCTGCCTCCCAAGTGCTGGGATTAAAGGCGTGCGCCACCAACACCCAGCTGAGAAATATTTTCATTACATGGGTGATAGGCCAAATATAGTGAAACAAGACTATAATTCCTGGAATCAGGAAGCTGGTGACAACCTGTTTGACATAAAAAGACATGTCCTCCTACCCCCCAAAATTTGCTAATAAAGTATGTGCCCAATGAAAACTCATACAATACATACTATGTACCTAGGTTCTCAGTACCAGGCAGTCTAAGCAGAATGGAGGGAAATACAAGGAAAGGAAATTTAGTATCTGAAATGAAAAAAACAAAAACTTAATATCTTTGTGTTATTGACACAACTATAACTTTTATCCAAATGGCCCCAAAGCTTTTGGTTGGCATAACAGAATCCCATCTAAGTTTAGAAGTTGACTTTTAACTTGTCTTACCCATGCTGGCCTTGAACTCATGAAAATCCTCCTGCCTCAAACTTAGAAGTTGATTTTCAATGTAATTCATTGAAACATTCTTCTTGACATTTCCTAAGTTCAAAAACCTTAATTCTTCTTAAAAATAAACATATGAAATAGACTGCACAACCTAAGTAGACAGATAACATTATATGGTTGAATTGTAAGGTCCAAAACAGTTAATAACTCCACAAGCCAATCCTGTACATCAGCCATCCAAGATAAATTCCTTAAAACATTGTTTTCAGGAAATATTTTTAAATATTTTCAGCAAATATTTAAGCATTAATAGCTTCTGTGAATGACCGCTCAAAATGTAAAGCACAGAAAATGTAAATGCTCGTGTTAAACTGATTCAAGATTTAGGAATTAACTAACTCAGTCTATTAGTTCCTTGACTGAGGTTGTTCTGTAGCTATAATGTTCAGACACATGTTTTAACATTGCTATTTACTTTAAAGATGAAATTGCCATGCATTTCAACCATGCTAATTAAGTCTTACCAGATTACTGAACAAGTTATTACTTCGCAATTAAATAACAATTACTTCAAAGTAAAACTGTATCTTCAGAGACTAGACCTAGAGACAGGACTTTAGGAATTACTGTAGTTATGCCCTTGTGAGTGAATTGAGGCACATTTAGTGAGATGCAACTCATTCTTGAAAGCAATTCTTTTGGGGGGGAGTTCAAGACAGGGTTTCTTTTTGTAGTCCTGGCTGTTCCGGAACTCACTGTGTAGACCAGGCTGACCTCAAACTCAGAGCTTGGAGATCTGCCTGCCTCTGCCTCCCGAGAGCTGGGATTAAAAGTGTGCTCTATCACCCAGCATTAACAACAATTTCCAATAGCCACTTTCAGTGACTAATCATGCTAACATCTGTTCTAGGAAATGTATTTATTGAATAAAGCAAGAAATCCTCTACACTAAATGACTACCACCAAAACATACAAATTTTATACTCCTTATGCCAACATGTGAATGTTCTCACATGCACCCAAACAGTAACACACCAACACATACCCATGAATACAATACAAAATACAGATGCAAATACACACAAACAGGAATGTATATGCATTCATATGACAATTTTGACACACATGCATTCACACAGCAACACATACACAGACCCCAACACACAGATGTATATACATGTTAACATGTATGCACCCTACATAGCAACAGTCATAGAAACACCAAATATGCAAAGTGAAAGATGAACACAAAAATACACCCCTCAGAAAAGCACACAGATGTATCCATATGATGATACACAGATGAATATAGCAAAACAGATGCACACACTCTATATATCAACACAAAGATACTCATGCATGGCAACATATAGGAATACACACATACGCACAGGGCCACACACAAGTGTACACGGTGAAGGTGAATTAACTGGA